TGATCTATTTCTGTCTCTTCTTATCCTACTTCTTTTTTGTGTTTTGCTCTCTGTTAACCACCAATGTATATACTATTTTTATTGTCACAATTCCTAGTTGGTATGTATAGTGGACCTTTAATCACTGAGTTAACAGATGTAATGAAATGTCTTCACTACAAAGGATTCAACTCTTTTATTCTGATTAAAATGAACACCGTTCATTCACAAAAGTTACCTTGACATCTCTAATCCATGTGATGTTCTAGTTGCTCAAGCAGTGACTCTAGAATTTCTGACTACAAGGAAGTTATACTTTAACAGGAAAAGAAGAAAATACAAGTGTAATCAAATGTGTAGAGAAACAAATGGGATTAACTCAGATTATAATAGTACAAAAGATACTGTGGGATTTTGGAAGAAAGAACCTGAAGGTGTTTGCCTGGATTCTGGAGGACAGAGTAGCCAGGAAGTGACCTCTGTGGGGGCAATTATGAGAACTAGAATACCACACAAAGACTGAAGAATATGCTACAGAGCAAAGCTAAGGTGTAGAACAAAATTTGGCATAAATTGGAACAATTGACTGAGTTGGAAAATCAAATGTAAAATCAGAAAGAGTACCTGAGGTTAGGAAACATGGATTTCACTCTCCCTCCTCTAAATGGGCAAATTTGAGATTTTAAAGCAAAGGACACTGTGGTGGTATAACATGATTGACATCTTATAAAGACCATTGTGCTCTTATCAGTTGAAACAGTTTGTCCTAAAAGGCATATTGCCATGGTAGGCTTGCTTGTCAGAGCCTTTGACATGGTTTGAACAGGGGGTCAGTGCAGAGACTCACATGATTATACTTATTAAATATTTTGTCATATGTGATGCTTATTTCTGTGGGGATATCTGCAGCTAAGATGGGGTTAGGTGGTAGACACCAGGCCCCAGATTCTATGTCTACACTCTTCTTCATTTTTACTTCATTATCTTTTGTGGTCTAGGTAAGCTTACTTTCTGTCTTCATGAGGAATTAATTTTTCTCATAGGAAGTTTCAAAGTCTTATTTGATTACAAGTCATGTACTTTTCTTATGGGAGTAGAGGGGCTACAAAACATATCCAGAAGTCTACATCTCAGTGACTTAACTGAGACATGTTGTAGTACAGAGGCTAAGGAGGAGAGACATTCCAGGTGATTTTTCATCCTTCCAGTTTGACAACTTTTCACTTCAGCATCCTTCATTGCCAAGGTTACCACTTCCCAGTTGTCTCACATCCCCCATGTTCTTTGCAAGCTGCTGCTGCTCAGGCACCATTTTCAAGAGTTGACCATCTATGCACATTTACCCATTAGCTTGCAGTTTCTGTTCATCTGTTTGTTTGTTTTTTTTTTACAGATGAAAGTGACAATCCTTTTTTTAATTTAAATTAGAAACATGAATGCTTCACATGTCAATCCCTGCTCCCTCTCCCACCCCTCCTCCCTTGTCCCTTCACCCAACTCCCCACTCAATCCCCACATCATTCCCCAGGGAGGGTGAGGCCCTCCTTGGGGGAGATCTCCAAATGCTGTCATTTCATTCAAGGCAGGACCTAGGCCCTTCCCCATGCGTCCAGGCTGAGACGATCCCTCTATTTGGAATGGGCTCCCAAAAATCATTCATAAACCATGATAAACACTGATCTACTACCCAAGGCCCCAGTGATTTCTGTGGCCTCCTTACTGAGACTACATTCATGGAGTCTGGATCAGTCCCCTGTTGGCCTCTCAGGCATCAGTCTGGGATTCAAGAGCTCCCCCTTATCTGGTCAGCTGTCTTTGTGGGTTTCACCATCATGGTCTTGACCCCTTTGCTCATCACTCCTCCATCTCTGTCACTAGGTTCCAGTAGTGCAGTTCAGTGCTTTGCTGTGGGTATCTGTCTCTACTTCCATCAGTCAATGGATGAAGTTTCTAGGATGGCATATAAAGTAGCCATCAACCTTACAATCAAGGAGGGTCAATTAATGTAGTCTCTCCACTATTGCTTAGTTTGCCAGTTGGTATTATCCTTGTAGATCTCTGGAGATCTCACTAGTGTCAGCTCTCTCCTCAAGCCTATAATGACTCAATCTATTATGGTATTTCTCATCCTGCTCTCCTCTTTTTACCTTGACTCAACCTTCCTGCTCCCCCATACCTTCTTCTCATGTCCTCTTATCCCCCTATCTTTTTCCTGGCTCCCTTACCCCTCCCCTGATGTCCCCAATCTGCTCAGGAGATCTTGCCTCATTCCACCTCTCTGGGGTATCATGCATCTCTCTTGGGAACCTCCCTATTTCCCAGACTCATTGGCACTGGGATTGTAGGCTGACACTCGAAAGTGACAATTCTAATCTGTGGTGGAAAACTTTAACTTTAAGTCTGGTGCATAGAAAAACAGCAGAAAGTGCTGTTTCTTCCTCTGTTCCTGTACAAGGTCAAGAAGAAACGCACCTCTCAAATTTTCCCTCTTTGCTCTTGTCACTTTGTCAAAAGTTATTAATCACCCCATTACACCATTTTGTTCAAATTTGATTATTATTTAAAGTCAGAAGAAAGCTAGAGAGTTGATTTCTCACTCCTTTTCTTCTTTTCAGTTTGCCTTTTCCCATTTCTCTGTCTCTTCTCACTCCATTCCTGTTTGTCACCTCCTAACTGCATTGACACACACTTGCTTCCTCCTTGTGTTGAAAACTATAGAACATATTTGGCTACAATATGTTTTCATCCAATATTCAGCAAATATGCATATACCAGCTATTAAACTAGAAATTGGATCACATTGTGCATATTTCTGAGTCACTATCTCTATACATAGAATCTTATGTTAGACTGGATTGAGATAGAGAAATGGATTGTAATGCATTGTAGTGAATGGCCACTGTAGGAAAAGGATAGCCGACATGGTCTTGAATAGACTCTATAGGAGGAATTCTAAGCTGCTTGATGCTTAGTTGATGATTTTTAACCAAACACTGAATATTGCAAATGTAGCCACACACTTTAAGCAAGTGTGTGCATGGGTAGGAAATCTGGGAAGATTGGATGTACACTGCAGCATGTGTGAGGAGTACTGTATGCATAGTAGGAAATATGGCTATCCTACTGTGGTCCGTGAGAAATTTTGGTGGCCTGCCTCGTTTTTCATAGTAAAGTAGGTTAAGTGTGTACATGCACATGGAACCTGTTCGCCTTGGTTCTGCTTTATCCTCTCCATTGCAGTAGCTTGGATAAGGATGTTAGAATTATGTCATTCTGGGTTGCATATTTACTCTATCATTAAATATGGCCTTAAAAGTTTTCTAAATTCTATCAGCTACAAAATGATGGTAGACATTTTGCTCTGAAGGACAAGAGAAATGTTGGATAAGGCACCACAAAGTAGACACTGATTTTTTTATAAAGAAGTAGTTATCTTTTTTTTCTTAGTTGTATGAGTTCAGTTTGAAAATGTTAACTTTTTAAAAATTCCAATTTTTATTTTTCTCCTATTTCTGGTAAAGTACAATCAGTTGAGTTCAACAGCATTGAGTCTCCCACTGTGGAGTGGTACACAGTAGTTCGACATGATTAGCTGGGAATAAGAGATTTTTAAAAAATCCCACTTCAAATGACAAATTTGAAATGACTTCTTTCTGAATGAATTCATCTAAGCAATTGATATTTCTTTATTATTTTGTGTGTATATGTTAATGGACGTGAATATGCCATAGAGCATGTGTGGAAGTCTGGTACTGAAGAAAGAATCTTGAGGGAGAAAAGCAAATAATGTTGCTTAAATAGATATGACTTAAATTTCCTTAACAAATTAAATGTATGTTTCTATGAATATGGAAATGACAAGATTTCTAAGTTGTTTTAAGTTGATAAAAAGGGACAAAAGAAAGATGTTGCTTGATTCTTGGAAAACTTCTAATTCCCATTCAGAGTTCATATATATTTGGGCCTAGCACCTCATACATGTATGTATTCCTCATTCATATTTGGAAACCTGAGGTAGGAAGTTTATGAGTTCAAAACCAGAATAGGCTACCTAGCAAGACCCTGTTCCAAACAACGAGGACAAGAACACCAACCACAAATAACACCAGTAACAACAAAACTAAGCATTGCAACATTGTTTATGTGAATAGAGCCTTCAATGTGAGAAATTCACTTTCTTTTTTTTTCTTTTTTTTCTTTTTTATCATTTTTTATTTTAATTTTAAATAGCTTGTTTTACATGTCAATCCCAGTTCCCTCTCCCTCCCATCCTCCCGCACTCCCCTTCCCCCCCTCCCTCCCACCCTATTGCCAAATCCTTCCAAATAGGGGATATCTAGAGTCTGTCATTTTACTCTTGGTAGGGTCCAGGCACTCCCCTAAGAGTCCAGGCTGAGAGAGCATCTCTCTTTGTGCTATAGGCACACGAAGACTGTTTGTATATCAGGGATAGACACTGATCCACAGCTCAGGGCCCCATAGGTTGCCCAGGCCTTCTCACTGACACTCACATTTGGGGGGGTCCAGATCAGTCCCATGCTGGCCTCCCCACTGTCGGTCTGGGGTCCAAGAGCACTCCCCTGTTCAGATCAGCTGTCTCTGCTGGTTTTGCCAGCCCATTCTTTGCCAATTTGCTCATCACTCCTCTCTCTCTGTCACTGGGTTCCTTGGGTTCAGTTCAGTGATTAATTGTGTGTTTGCCTCTGCTTCCATCAGTCACAGGATGAAGGCTCCCGGATGGTTATAGACATCAAGTTCATTATCAGGAATGGGCATTCGAGGTGGTCCCTCCACTATTGCTTAGCTGGCCAATTGGTGTTATACCTTTAGATCACTTGAGGTCACTCTGGTGCCTGATCTGTCTTCGATCCTATGATTCCCTCTTCCCCCTATTCTACCCGCACCCCCTCACTTTCATGGGGATGCCTATGTCAAGGTATCATGGAAGACTGGCATGTGGCATGATTACAGAAATGTGATGATCTAATGTTCTGAGGGATTGTATCGCTTTTGTGTTACAGGATGAGTAAGAGATACTTACAGAAGGCAACAAAAGGAAAGCTGCTGATAATAATTTTTGTAGTGACCTTGTGGGGGAAAGCTGTTTCCAGTGCAAACCATCACAAAGGTAAGCTCTGATGCGTCCTGCACCGTCTGTGCGAGATGGTTCCTTTAAACAGATTGCCACATGTGGTCTCCACTGGTCTGTTCAGTTTTATTAGGCATGGGTTTCCCCTAGCAATTTTCTTTAAGTAAAAATGCAGAGAGCTGCCTTCAAGATGACACTGAAAGGAGAAACCTGGTGTTTTCAGGATTACTGCCAATTCTACAAATATTGTCCAACAAATGCAAAATACTAACTCTGTCTTCCTTCCATTTTTTAACCTAGGTTTCTTTTTTTCTTTAATATATGTTTTTATTTAAATTAGAAACATGCATGCTTCACATGTCAATCTCAGCTCCCTCTCCCACCCCTCCTCCCTTGTCCTTCCACCAACCCTGCAGCCCCCCACCCAATCCCTACATCATTCTCCAGAGAGGGTGAGACCCTCCTTTCGGGCATCTCCAGAGTCTATCATTTCACCCAGGTCAGGACCTAGGCCCAACCCCAGGTGTCCAGGCTGAGAGAGCATCCTTCCATGTGAAATGGGCTCCCAAATTTCATTCGTCTGCCATGGTAAAATACTGATCTACCACCCAAGGCCCCAGAGATTTCTGTGGCCTCCTCACTGACACTACATTCAGGGGGGTCTGGATCAGTCCCCTGTTGGCTTCTCAGATAGTGATGTTAAAATGTTGACTTGGTGTGTAATAAAGGTGAATTCTAGGCTGCCCTTGTCTTTATAAAGAAAACATTTTTCATGGTGCATATATTAATCATGTGCATACAGTATATGCAAAGTTTTCCTTTGGAGTTTCTGTAGACCTTGTCTCTTTCTTTCTGGCACCATACCTCTCTGGCCCATCATTTGGATACCACTTTTACCTCCGTAGGTTCTGTTCTGCCACAGCAAAGTGAGAATATTTGTCTATATGTATGTGCTGTCAGCTCAAAATTACTCCCTTTTCTCCTTTCTAGCCATTAGGTTTGGCATAACGAATGGCTGCCTTTTCCAAATGAGTTTAAATGTGGCTATTTCTGCATTATGTCTACCATAATCAAGTATTCATAACCTGAGGAGTCAATTTAGATTTTCTGTGAAATATGGTTTTGCTATTGAATTCTCTGTCCACCATGAAGATTAGCACTTTCCTTTCTTACTCTGTTTTTGGTGTGAAGGAGGAATTAAGAGTGTTTTGGATTATCTAGCACTTAAATTATTTACACATGTACATCTAATTAGCAATAAATGGAGCATTAATACACAGAGAGGAAAGATGTGGTATGAAATTTGATGTCTATATAGCAAACTCCTCCCCTTGCATTTAAAACTAATAAATGAGACTTTATTTGAAGGAGAGATCTATGGAGAGTTTGTTTATATGTTGTAATTCTTTTTTGTTTTTTGAGCTATAGAGGCATGTGTGCTTGTAAATGTACATTTTTTTGTCTTTAAAGTAGCTGGTGGATCTGTCAATCAAACTTTCAATCCTCTTTAACAATGGCTATCTTGGCTTCTTTCTCTGTTGCTGTGATATAGTATTCTGACAAGGGCAACTTGATCACAATTCCATGTTACCGTTGATTGTCACTGGGAAATCACAGTTGCAGGAGAGTGAGGGAGCTGGTAACATTTCATGTATAATCAGTATAAACTGGAGGCCACTGTTAAAGCTACATTTAAGAATTCTGGAGTCATTCTGCACAGTGTTAATTACAAAACTATCAGCTCTTCTTTATGTTAACACGATATTTTACATTTCCCCTTTTTATTTTATTTCTTAGTTATAAATTTAAAAAAAATCTTTATTTTCCGGGCGGTAGTGGCACACGCCTTTAATCCCAGCACTGGGGAGGCAGAAGCAGGCGGATCTCTGTGAGATTGAGACCAGCCTGTTCTACAGAGCGAGTTCCAGGACAACCTCCAAAGCAATACAGAGAAACCCTGTCTCAAAAAACAAAACAAAACAAAACAAAACAAAACCCTTTATTTAAGCCAGGTGGTGGTGGCACACTCCTTTAATCCCAGCATTCAGTAGGCAGAAGCAGGTGGATCTCTGCCCGGTTTACAGATCGAGTTCCAGGAGAGCTGAAGTTACATAGAGAGAAACACTGTCTCAAAAAACCAAAATTGTTTATTTGAATATTTTGTTTATTTAAATGATGTGAATATGTACATATCCATAATGCAGGTGCCCATGGTATCCAGAGGAAAGCCTCTGATAACCTGGAGCTGGAGTGACAGGCAGTTGTGAGCTGCCTAAGGTGATGGCTTGGAACTGAATTTGGGTCCTACTGAACAACAACAAACAGTTTTAACTGCTGAGGTATATCTTCAGTCTCACACTATAAAACACTGCATTGTATAAAAAACCGTAAACTGCCAAATGCAATCCATTGCAGAGAAGTAGGTCTAGGTTGTTGTCTGTTCCATTTCTACCTTGCCACTAACTTGCATAAGGATTTTATGAACAATTACTCTCTTTGTCTCCCTCCCTCTCTCCTCCTTCCTTTCTCCTTCTCCCTGCTTATTCTTTTTGTCTTGAGTCATTTCACACACAAAATTATAAGGGCAAGGTAAATACCAATTGTATAGGCACATGCTCCCAAAAACGGACACAATGTTCTCAACAACAAGTTGTGAAGTACACCCTTTCTAATGCTCTTGAGCCGACTGTGTCTGCAGAGTGACTTCAGCCTAATCATTGTTCTAAACGTTCCATTTAGAATTCCTTTATATTCAACAATAACCTCTTCATGTGAGCATGAATGCACATTTCTAAAAGCAATTTCCTTAGCTTAGGTAATTCTTGAATTTGTGTACACAGTATTATACAGTAAGTATTTAATTACAACTTTGCTATTTTTTCCAACAGTGCTTGCAAGGTATGTTATAAAGTATAATACATGGGTTTTGCACAGTTGATCCATGTTGCACAGTTACTATAAGCATAATCATTCTCTTGTACATAGATGTTTTGCATTCTATTTTCTTTCTGTTCTGAACAGCGATTCTAGGAGTACTATTGTACATTGCTTTCAGTGCACACATGCAAGTGTCTCTGAAAGCATCATTACCATGAGCAAAGAGCTTCACAGAACATTCATGGGTTCAACTTGGCCAAGCAATCCTGGATGGTTTTTCAGTCTAAATGCACTGATAAAATTGCTCTAAACATTTTTTTTATCTTTTTGTTTCCTGCTCTCTGTGTTTCTTCTTCCATCATGAATATTACTAACTTTTATTATTTTGTCCAGTGGTTGGTTGATATATTAGTTTTCAAAGGACAGATTTTTGCCTTTACTTTTCCTTTCATACAATTATGCATTTTTATTATGTCAGTTATATATTTTATTCTACCCATATCTGTGTTATTTTAGTAACATAAATGTACTGTTATTTGTGTGGCAGACACTTCAGTTACTCCTCTTGTGCTTGTGGTCACCTGTGTTAGGGATTTAGACCTTCACTGGCTTTCCAATGCTTCTATAAAATTCCCATGCCACTCTGTCATGGACTTCACCTGTCATAGATCTGCTATTTCCATAGCTAACTGCTTGGTAAGGCCTAAATGTTAACAGTTACATTACACTCCTCTGTTAGGTTGGGAAGACTCAGGGGCTATTTCCTATTATTAAAACAAGACCTTAGAGATAGATATCTGGTGTGTCTGCCCTGGAATGAAGGTATTTGCATTCTGGATAATAGGGTGAGAACCTAGAACCCTTTTCAATTCGGGCTCAATGAAGCAAACCAAGATGTTCTTTTTGGGGCATGGGAACACAGTGGTTGTTTCTCTCTTGCAGCTAAAGCATCCTATGTCCTTTGTCACTTTCCTATGTGGTGTCCCCTCTTCATACAAGGACATGTGACTTGGTGAGGTTTAGTTAAGTCAGTCTAATCAATTACAATAAGAAACCAGTTTCTGGTTCCTAACACCTTGGTGAATATTCAAGATAAAAATATCTGAACTAATCCAGTATCATTGAAGAACATTCTAGCTAGATGCTAGCTCATCTAGTCTTCATAGCAGTTGATGAGATGGGTACTTGTGTAGCTTTGGAGGCTGTCCTAGAACTCAACTTTATAGACCAGGTTGGCCTTGAACTCACAGAGACCTTCCAGCATCTGCCTCTTGAGTTCTGGGATGAAAGTCATGTGGCAGTACTGCTTGGTTTGTATCCACTTTCATCGACCAGAATATGATTAGTAATTGTTAGAAGTGGGATTCAAACCTGGCAGTGCTGCTCACTCTACATAGTCATGATATATGTGGAGCTGAAATTCTTTAATATTGGGTTTGTCTGGCTTTGTGAGTCCACAGATTAATATTGTACATGAACACAAAATAGGTGTTAGATCTCCTACCACCATGCTAGAATTCTAGCCAGGAATGTGAGTATGATGGGATTCTCAACACTGTCCTCTGTGTAGTTTGGTTTTTATATTACATTTTTGCTTTTGAGATTGCTCCATACTATACTTTAGAGTTTTTATTCAGATCTCTCAAAACCATTCATTTTTGCGTTTTCTTGTGTCTGAGTTATTCTTTAGTCCACTAACTGGCTTTAATTTCATTTATTGTATGCCTCAAAAATTGTTTTTCTCCCTGAGAATTTTCTTGCAATTTAATGTTGTTTTGTTCTCACTCTTACTTTCTTTTTTCCATTTTATAGCATTTTCTAATTTGTTTTGTGAAAGAAATTAGCCAATCAATTCTCTCCAGGAGGAGGGTATATATATATATATATATATATGTGTGTGTGTGTATGTATATATATTATAATATATTACATATATAATATTAATATTTACCCTTCAGTTTTGTGAATTTTTTATTTAAATTTCTTAGCTTTTGAGCATTCATGAGAGTACTATGTTGACATCATTTCCATCCTTCCCTTTCCTGTGGGAGGATTAATGAAGTCCATGAATGCCCAAATAAAAGGATAACAGATATTTGTTTGGGGAACACTGACACAATGAAGGTAAATAGCCGCCTCGGTCATCTGCCCTTGGAGCCGCA